AGTCTTCTTAGAATTCCTTGGGGTCACTCTGTCTTGAGATTTCCATAGTGCCTTTAAATTGGACCTCGTTCAATTCTAAATTTTCTTTCATAGAAAATTTAGATATTTTTTCTAATTTATTATAAAAGATTTTTTTCTTTTAATCATCTTAAATATTTCAACTAGCCTAATAGTTTTATTTACTTAATTTTTGAAGTTGATTTTATTTTGTTATTTTTCAAATTAATCGTAAGAGAATCCGTGAATTGGAATTTCTACCTCAAATTTTCGTTGAATATTAAGAAGACATAAATCTTTCACGTTGGAGGTAAGCAAATGTTTTTATTATATCAATTTTGGTTGTGGTTAGGGAAAACGTGAAAGGTTTGCGCAGTTTTTTATATATACATTGTGAATTTTTTTGTTTATTTATTTAAATTTCGGGCCACTATTCAATTCCTTCTTTGACTGGCCTATCTGCCAAAATTCTTGATTTAGTCTGTTCTGGATGAAATTGAGATAACAAATGTAATTTTATTTTAATTTCCTTACTGATAATAGACAGAAACAACATAGGATTTTGTTTAATGGAGCATTGAAATCAAATGATCATCAGCTAAACAAATGTTTAAACACGAGAAAAAAACTTTTTAAAACTCCTGTATGACCAAATTTTCCATGTTTCCCCTAAATATGAAATATGTTTAATTTGTAATATTATATTTCATACGCAAAATTAATTTATTTAGTTAGCTTATGATTTTATTGTTTATTGATCATATTCGTTTCTATTTTTAACTCCTTGATTTTTGTTGTTATTATGTGTCTAAAGTTGATAAGGCTTCGCAATTTTTTAATTAATAAGGCTTTTAAATTTCCAAATCAAAGTCGAAACAATTTCTTAAAATTGTAAATCGAAACTATATATGAAATTTTGTTTTTATTTTAAACGTGTGCATTTAATTTAATAAAATAAAAATAAATGAAAAAAATATAAATAAATGCCTGAATAAAATAAAAAACTTCGTTATCATATCATCTTTTCAACAATTTGAGTATTAATAAATTATTTAAAAATTTATGCTCGCAAAAATGTGTTAAGCAAATTTTTAGTTTAAAAGGTAAAAAAAAATTTGATTTGTTTAAAAGGTAATTATGCTCCATTATTCGATGATGAGACTATTTAATATCAGTTCCTAAGGATCAGAATTCTCTTTTATTTTACTTTATTGTGTGATATATTTAATACTTTCATGTGATATGCTGCAGTTTTAAATGCCTAAAAGATGACTGAAATTGTCAATTCAAAAAAACAATTAATACTTTTGAGCATGAATTTAAATAACTCCATACGTTTTGTTTGGTTATCTCATTTTACATTATCGCAGCATTTAGAGCAGACAGTTGCTTGTCGGTGTGGATGATACAAGTAAAAGAAGAATACAAATAATAATAATAATAATATTTCAGTTAATGTCCTCAATATTATATTTGTAAGTTTCTCGCAAAAATGTGTTTAAAACATAATTGTCACAAACAAATTAATATTAAGTAAGAACGAAACAAAAATGATATCAAAATGTGCTGAATCACTAGTGAGACAGGTGGGATGAGAGACATCGAAACCAATTTGATTGAATAGTAAAACTAGAAGGTGTTTTTAAAATCCGGAAATCAATCAGGTTTCAATATTTTTAGTCACAAAATTTATCAGGGGCTATTCGTTAGATTTCAATATGGGTTATGATTTTTCTTTGATTAAATATTAAACATTAACAAATATTTGTCTTTTAAAACCTTTCATTCTATCATAAAAATAATTATTCTATAGTTGTAATTCTGAAACTAATTGCTAACTGATATAAAGCTTTAGTGTGTTTCATTGATATATTAAATGTCTTCTATCGGCGAAACCCCGACATTACGATTAAAGTTTATTAAGGTAATTACGAACATTATAACCTAAAAGCAGACTATTTTTAAAGTATTTAATTAGAGGAATGTAGATTTTTCATCTTTTTATCATTATCAATCTTAAATAAGGTTTTATATCCGACAGTTAAATTTGCAGTCCTTGTGTTATATACAGTCTAGTTTTTAATTTATTTTTGGTGCATATACATAAGCTGAAAATAAATAAGATAAGCCGAATTATGGTTTACTTCTAAATGAACTGAAGATACTTGTTACAAACGTTAAAATTTGTAATTTGGAAAGAATTTTTTCAGAATGTCAAGTATCCAAATGACTTAATTTATTAAATTTTAAAAAAAAATATTAAAAAAATATCCGCAAGGCAGGTATGTATATTTGGGGCTGATGATTATGAAATCTAACACAAAACTGTGAGATCGTGGGTTCTTTTCCATCTGATGACAGTCTTTAATTACTTTTTATTAATACTGAAAAATGTTTTTCTTATTTTTTTTTAAATTATGCATGTTAAAAACTAATAATTTAACAATTATTTAAAAAACTGGACGGCTCCGCTCCCTGTTCCTTATCGCTCATTAACCCTCGTTGTTGCTTCTGCATTTATTGCAGAATAAGAGGAAAAACAGTTTATTTCCATTTTTTTTCTACAAAAATTACGATTGAATTACCATTTACATTTTGAAGATGACTAAATTTCGGCAAATCAATGAAATTGGAACCAATTAATAAAATTAGAAAATTGGCACCTGCCGCAGAGTTATTACTCAATGAAGATGGACTCAAGGAATAGAGCATTCTCCTTGAATGAGGTGCACCGAGTTCGAATCCCAGTGATGGTTGGTCGATATGAATTTCACACCCAACTTTTACCGACCGCAGTGCTGACGTGAAATATCCTCTGTGGTAGGCGGATCATGGGTTAGAGTCCCTTTAACGTCAGGCAAACCGTGGAAGGCACTTGTGTTCTTCCTCTCTATGTACCGTAAATGCGGGTGAGTTCCATCAAAACGTCCTCCATGAAGGCAAAAATTTCTTCCAATCCTGGATTCTCTTGTATGATGGATTGGGTTCAAAATTACAAGGCTACGGAGCTGAACATTAGTAGTCGTAAACTCGAAATTGGGTGGGCTGTTCAATGACTGTAATAAAATAAACTAATAACTTGGCCACGATAGCTTGGTTGGTAGGGCTATGGACTCCTGCTCGTGAGAATGGAAGTTCGAATTCAGCCGGCCGAATAATACCCATGAGTAAAATGGTGACTGGTGCATATTAAATCTGTCGGGGTCATAAACTCCTCCAAGTTCTTATGACAATTCAATACCTCTGGGAACTGATCCAGGAATTTCCTTGTCTTCTGGATTGGTTTTAAAATGTCAAGGCTACGTAGCTAAACATAGTCTCAAAATTGAGTCAGTTTTTCAACGATTATAAAAAAAAACTAATAATCAAACTGTATTTTCTAGTATTCTTTCTAACTCCTAGCATATTTTCTACACACCTTCATAATTTGATGTTTCTAAGTCTTACGGATTTTAAGCTGGAAAGCAAACTGTATGTCTTACAGGAAATTGATTGTCTCCTTGATGAAAAAAAAACAGCAGATAATATTAAGTTAAAAAAATTAATTAAACAAAATAAAAGTAAACAGAATATTTACATTTGGCAAAATTTCAGCTGGAAGTACTAGCTAATTTAAATTATGGTGGAATAAAACTGTGTGCACCTTGTAAGAGAAGATTTAAAATGATTATATATCAGAGAAAGTCTCTTAACAAAATCACCAGAAAAAAAAAGAAAATTTCAACAAGAGTCTCCCTCTACCTAAATCCCTAAAAGTTTAATAGATCTGTTTTCCTAGAAATTCAACATAACTGCCTGTTTGGGGCAATTTATGAATAGATAGCCAACAAAGAGATAGTTCTGTCGATATCCCACATTTTTAAAACATGGCAAAGGAGTCCAGAGCCATAAATAAGATAAAGATAATTTCAAAATGCAAAAGACATTGTCCCATAGCGTAAACTGAGGCAGCTATTTTTGAGGTATCAAATGACTTTTCGTTGGTGGCTAATTCAATGGAGAAAAAGAATGGGTGCAAAGAGCGTTTTATTGCTTATTGAAGGAAAGGGTAACAATGACAATTCTTGTTGTTGTAGCCAATTCCCATCTAGTCTGACTGAGTCAGATCAGATCAATAAATCCGTTGACAATTAGGAAGTCTGAAACTAAAAGGGGAGAGGAATGAATGTCGTTCCAGTCCAGCCCTGAACAGTTCAAGATGTGCTCAGGTGATGCCTGGTTTTGTTTGCATTTAGGGCAAAGAGGAAAGATCTTTTGATTAGCAGAAAAAGTGAGATTTTTCAGGTGTCTACTGGCCAGTCAGGATAAGCAAGTGTTGGTCTGCCTGTCACCAGGAAGAGATAGAGTCCAGGTCTTTTTGCTTTATACCAGTAGTGAGTAGGTGGAGGCAGCCACTTTTGTTTGTTCTGAGCCTTTTGCCTTGCGAAAAGTTCAAGGTATGTAAGCTCTGAGGTGGAGGGGACTGGATGGTCTAGTCCCTTCTTTGCAAGATTGTCAGTCAACTCGTTTCCGTGGATATCGACGTGGGACGGGATCCATTGAAAGTGGACCTCATGCTGCTGGGTAATGAGCTTTACTTTTTGTAAGATCGAAAAACTGGTTTTATCTCCAATGAGGGCCCAATTTTTGAGGTGTTGAATTGAACTACGGCTGTCAGATAGTATCCAAGTATTTCCAAGGTATCCTTCACTCAAGATTTTCTCTAGTCCCCTGTCGATTGCAATTCTTGTAGATTCTCTAAGCACTTGTTTTATTTTTTATGTAGTGCAATTTTTGTGTACTTTATTTTTAAATAATTTTCTCTTAATAATAGAATATAATAAGTTGCACTACGTAAAAAAGGGAGTAAAACACATAGAAACAAAACAGAAATATTTGCTCAAAATAATGGACCCTGCCTTCCCAATTATTGGGGGGGTCCGGACCCCCCTGGTTACGACACCAGTGTCTGAAACATTGTTCAGGTTAAGAATTTATGTGAGTTAAATCATAGCTATACATACCGCAAGAATTTCTGATTCAGAATCTTCTTCTTGAGTAGGAGGATGAACATCTTGACTACCATCTTCTTCTTGCTCTGTGGTATCTTGAGCTTCATGAAACATTAAATGCCTGGATTGAACTTGCAATTCTTCAGTGCTACAAGAAGTACATTCCCAGCCTACAGAATCTGCAGATGTATTGCAAAACCCCATCTCATCACCAGATTTCAAAGAATAATTGAACCCATAAACTTTAGGACTCAATTTATTTGGACTAGATTCAATCAATACTGAATTTTTTGTAGAATCATATAAATCTTTATTTAAACTATCAATATTACAAAATCTGATTCTAGCAGCATTTTTGTTACTTTTAGAACAGATAGCAGAATCTTGATTATACTGCATCAGGTTTTGTAAACTATTTTGTGTCATTGACAACTTATTTTGTTCTAAATTATCGGTACTAAAACTATTGCAATTGCGCTCAAACCCCACAGGATCTGGCATAGCTCTAACTGTAAGACGATCAAATTGGCAACTAGGTGATTTATTATTATTCACTCTCATTTCATGAGCTTGTGAAGGATTCATTGACTTTTGAGATAATAAAGGACCATCTTGAGACAATGAAAAAGACCTTAATGGTGACTCAAGCAAGCCAAATCCAGGTATTGAAAAAGCCTGTCGATCAAGACTATTTGTACTGTATTGGTGATAATTGTCTACATCTACAACACAGACACGATCACTTGCATTTCCTGGAATAAAATAAAATCTTAAATACTTCAATCATGTTATTAAATATCATAACTTGATACGCTTTGATGTAAGACATAACACAGTAATGTGCTGTTAAGGCTTCATTTAAGATGTATCACATTTAATATATGCAGGGTATCTGCTACATTTTAGATTTTCAAATTCATGACTTTTCATGATTTTCCATGACTAATTCCAAGAATTTTTCATGACTTAACGAAGTTACTATTTCCTCTGACAAAAACACAAGAGTAAATTTAAAAAAGCATCATAATAACATTAATTGAAATTATAGTGTAACCAAAACTGTTATACTCTGCATCTTCATATTTATAGATTTTTAATTTAAAAAACAGAGAAAATAAAGATTTGAATCAATAAAATAGCTCAAAAGTGATTTTTTTTCTTTTTTCTGTGGAGTTATATTCTAAAGATACTTTTCTTGTTCAAGGGAAAGGAAAGAAATACTTCTGATTTTTCTGTTCTCATTTTGGAATAAAAATAATTCGCCAATCACTGGCTTGCTTCAGCTAGAATTTTAAATTTATAAAATTAAAAAATAAATAATAAAAATTCTGAAATCACAGAAATTTAAAAGATAATTTGCTCTAGAAATGACATTTTTTTTTCTTCATTCATTTTTTAAAAGAACGCAATTTTTAAAGAACATAAAAACATTTTATATTTTGATAAAATATGACTGTGAGTGGGGAGTTTGTTACAAATTCAGATATTCGGAACGCCAAGTAATTGGGGGGAGGGTAAATTACAGTTTAATAATTAGATTTTTTGGCTACCTAAATTCATGACTTTTTTTTAAAAAAATAGTTAAAATCATGACATTTCATGACTTTCCAGGTTTGCGGATACCCTGTATATGGGTAGCTTTGATGGTCTTGCTTATTTATAACATTAAAAACAACACTTAATACATGACATTCATTAGATAACGTGGATACATTTATTAGTATTTTCACACAGTAAATTGTTTACCTAAATTTTTTAAATTGCAACTGTTACTGTCTTTAATGTGAATAAAAAACACTGTATAAAAAATGTTTATCATTTGGCGGCTGACAAAACTGCAAGCAAGCAAAAGCTTAAAAATAAATGTCTCCATTTATGGCTTAGTTACAAAATAAAAGAGATATGTTTAAATTTGTCACTTTCTGGTCATGTGATAAAAAGGCTTTGCATCAGGCAATCTATAGTTATTTCTATATGGGTGGGGAAAGAAAATTTTCTGCATAAATTTTATTCCCTCAAACAGAGAAAAATGTTTTTTTCCCTCAAATTAAGCTTATTCCTTATATCAATCCAAAAATTCTTTCAAAAAATTTATATTTTTACCTATCAAATTTCTTTTCTGTCACTTAAAAATAGAGTTATAAAAAGATGTACAATTTAATTTATTTGTGGTATTTTTAGACAAACTGTCACAATCTTGATATCAATAAAAAATTAAACAACTGGATTCTTTTTTAACTTATGCAATAAAAATAACATTTAAAAAAACTGAAAACTTCAAAAAACTGTAAGGAACTTTTTTTTTTTTAAATTTAATTATTTAATTGAAGAATCAAGCCAACCAGGTGGCCGAGTGGTTAGCGTGTCTGACTGCGGAGTCATTGGTCACGGGTTCAAATCCTGCTCAGGGCATGGATGTTTCTTTCTCTCTCTGTGTTCTATGTCCTTTCCTCTTTGTGTGTCAATGTGACCCGCCCTATAAACAGGTTTGTGGTTGCGTGTCGTGGACGACGCTGCTCCACCGCCGTGGCTTCGCCACAGGTGCCCACTGGGTAACGAAAAGAGAGTAGCAGTTCTTGCATTTCTGTGGCCAATGGGACAAACCCCAAGTGCCCGCCATTAAAAAAAATAAAAAATAATTGAAGAATCTTTCTTTTGACAAACATGGAAAAGGATTTAAAAACTGGGCTTAAAAAATTTATAAAAGAAAATTCCTAACAATAAGATGAAATCATTGTCAATTCTCTTTTATTTTTAAAGCATTACACTCAACCTATTTCATAAAAATTATAACTGAAACAATCAAATTCATTATTTTTAAATAACTATACTAATAGCTTTATATGCTAGCTCTAACACAATAGTCACAGCTAGTTTTTACTTAAAAAATACAGTCCCAGTAAAAACATATATTTAAAATTCGAAATATTTTTGACTTAGAAAAATAATTCTGATTAGAGAAAAAAAAAATTACTTACCTTCATCTCGGAAACCAATTCCACTGTCACTATTACTGCTATTGCTACTAGTGTTGCTTGGCTGGGGAGACATATTTACATGAAACTCTAACCCATGTAGAATATCATTATTAATATCTAATTTATTTCTATACAATCCAACTACAGCTTGAAGTATACTATCAGCAGATTCAGGAAATTCTTTACATTTATTAGTTATGGGATCTGAAGTGCATGTAATATGAAAAGCTTTGGCTCGTTTTATGTGTTGATGATGAGGAGTTAATTTTGGATCTACCATAAATACATGACAGGAACTACTTAATGTATTTAGTTCATCTTGAAAGTCCTCATTATTAACACCATGGCTTGTAACAAGACCAAAGAATTTTTTATCATCACTATATACACCACTGAAAGTTATTTTATCAGCAGAAAACTCTGCTAAAGTAATACCTTGAGGATTTATTAGAATAATACAATCGGCGAAAACTGACATCAGGACCAACGTATGGACTTTTTTTTCGATTCGAAGTCTTCTTATACAATTGCGTATAGTTTGTAGTCTAGAATTAGGGAACTGAGGTTCTTTTGGCATTTCAATTGTACCTAAATAACCAACAACAGCATTTAAAATAGCTTGATCTTGTGTATCTTTCTGTTCATTTTGGGATGCATAGATTGCTGGATAAAGAATATTATTTAAATCTTGTTCAGTAAAAATAGAATGAAATACTTCACTTGTAGAACTTGATGAAGTGTTTAAATGCTCAGGATCACTACGAGACTTTAATACTTTACTTTCTTTCTTTTTTAAACATTTTTGTTTCGATTTTTCAGATGCTGATGCAACATTTAAAGGTTTAGAAACGAAGCTTTGAGGAGAGTGTCTATTAGCTTCCTGAAGCCTTTGTTGTAAGATCAAATCTAATAATACTTTATTTGATTTACTAGGTCCAGAGTGATTTGTAGTTTGGGATTTAGGCTTAGGAACAACGTTTACATTTCCTTGAATATGATCTACAAATAGAGCTCCAGTTTGCAAATCTTGAACAACTTTTTCAGCTCGTGAAACACTATTATTCTGCCTATTACGAATTTTATTTGGATATTTTGGTCTTGGCTTAACAATTGATACAAATTCTTCTTCGGATGAATCTGAATAATAATTTTCAGCAATCTGCAGCTTTAGTATATCACTAGAACTTCCAATCAATCTCACTACATCATCGTGTGGAGCTTTAGATACATTTTGACCATTAACAGCTATTAAAAAATCACCAGGTCTTAAACCTGCTTTTTCAGCAGGACTTCCAGTAATAATACAGCTAAGTATACAAGGAGCTTGCCCTGATATAGTGAAACCAAATCCATTTTTCCCCCTAGATATTTCTACAGTTCTCACACCATAACTAGGCCTTTTTTTTCGACGTCTGTGTTGATGCATAGCTAGCTATTGCAGCATTACAGATGTGAAATACTGAAAGAAACATTAAAATTTATCAACTATCTAGATCATATTAGCATAATATTAATATAACAAGGAAACATAGGTTTACAATAAAATGTTAAAAAGTAACTTTGCAAAGTCAGTAAAGAATAATGAAGCAAGATACAGCTATTAATTTCTCGGACTAATATAATATCTCTTGAAAATATTCAGTAAATTACATACCCAATATTTCAAAGAAACCTCTAACTAATATAATAAACTTCAGTGCTCAGCTGTAAACACTTCAGAAACAGCTTTTAAAGACAACTTTGAGAATAATAAATATGCTGTTCATTTCTGACATTCTTAAAGTCATTAACATAATAATAAATATGCTGTTCACTTTTGACATTCTTAGTCATTAACATATTTTCAATTTTTTTCAATTTCAGAAATAAATTTGCTGCAAAAGATTCATCTTAAAAATAAGGCATATGGTTCATCTCTAAAACCAAAACATTTACTGAAGTAACAAGGTTTAAGGTTGTTGAAATGATTAAGAAAACCACGACATCACAATTAAAGAGCATTCCAAAGAACTTTAAAAATTGTTTCTAAAACTTTTGCAACTAAGCAGAGTTTTCCAAGACACATCCAGACCCATATTTCAGACATGTGATTTGCTAAAAAATATTACTGGTAGTAAAAATACTCATAAATGTTATGTTAAAAGTTAGTTTCATTTGCATGCTGCATTTTGTTTTTCCTAAGCATGATGATGATATTCTTTAGTGAATCTAGAGACAGCGCTGTAACACCTCTATCATGTATCCTGAATTCAGGTGCTTCTGACAGATTTTGCAATTGAAAATAAAATCCAAAAAATTAGCTTTGCTTAACCTTTCATTTCAAGCAGTGGCAAAATTGCAGCACAGATTTCAATACAACTGCATTTGACTATAAATGGAATAAGCATCTCATTCAAGATGTTGCATGTTTGAAACAAGCCTGTCTGTTTTTAAAATATTGAGCAAGTGTCCAACAAATGAAGTTAATAGTCTCATTGTGAAACAGGACGTCTCTAGACAAAGGAGCAAAATGATCAACTGTAAAAGCTACATATTTCAAATGTGATAAATGCAGGTTGCACCTTCACCTCATGAAGGATAAGAAGTTTCCAAATTTTTCATGCATGAATTCAATTCAATACGTTTAGCATATTCATAATGTAAATGTGCAACATACTATATATTTGATATATACAGCAACAAAGAGTTTTTGCAAAGACCTAACTTCTTATTTTAAAGCCTTTATTCAAAATTTCAAGTAAAAAAAAAAATCTCATGATAAAATTATAAATTCTGGAAATGAAGGGTTAAGGGTGAGCATTTGGGTCACCTTTTCAATTTATCTGGTGGGGGAAAAAAAATGAAGAAAAAAATTTTTCATCAATGAAGATATCAATTGTGACATGAATTTCAAACATGCTGTAAAATTGAAGAAAGAAATGTATAATTACATCAAAAAATTAATAAAAAGTAACTATTCCACATATTCCTTAAAAATTAATTTTTTTTAATAACTTCAGTATAATTATTTGTAAATAGTGTAGAAAGATTGCCATACAATAAAAATATTTAAATTTTCACCTATTTGTATTTAAAATATATCAGCTATAATATACTCTGTTTAAAAAAAAAAAAAAAATTGTGGTGACTTATAAACGTAATCTGTTTAGGAATCAACTAATCAATCTATTACTCTTAATTATTATTAATTACTCTGAAATTCTTTTGGATCTTGGAAATTTTTTTTGGGTCACTACATCAAGTATGGAAATCTAGGCGTACATAGATAAGAGTCCTAGAGGATTCATTTCCTTTTGAAACTATAGTAAGAGTTGAATAGTGCACCTACAGCCAAACTGGGAGGTAGTGATTATTTAAAGCTCTCGAATCCAAAACCTACCAGTCTCTTCTACTTCTATGTCAGGTGTATGTGTCCTTTCTGTGGTGTTAGTTAATTAGATACTAATTGACTGACCACTGTCACAAGAAAAAAGGATTGCCTCCCACATGTGTAGACTTGCTACTAAAGGATATCTGAAGAATCTCAGTTTTACAGCTCATGTTTTCTCTCATTCACAGAAAAACTCCAAAACCGCTTAATTAATTTTTAAAAAATTTTTAGCATGTACTTATTATTTTAAAAAAATAAATTTGAAGTAATAATAAAAGTATGTAAATTTATAAAATTTGACTATGCAATCCGAAAGATTAAGGAATCGGGACTGAAAACATCAAATCCAGTTTGATTGTCTGAGGTAACACAGGAGTATAACTGTAATTATTATAATTTGTTTTTATTTTTTAACTTGATGAGATTTGGAGGATTTTATTATAATATCAGAGTTTATATTCTTTCTGTTTCTTCTGGAGATCAAACTGGTTTTGATATTTTCAGTCCTGCCTTCCATAAACTTGTACAATGATTACTGATGGGAGTCAATATAAATTGTCATTAGATTTTAATTGAATAAAACCAATTTTATTAGGCTTATAAGTAATGTGAATTTCATTCTTAAAATGAAAAAGATTACAGAGGGTCTATTTTAAAAGTATATATTTTGCTGGGGTCTATTTTTAAGGTAAAATAATTTGTGAAAAAAACCATTCTTACGCTAAAACTATTTGTGAAAGGACCCATTTTATGTTAAAATCATCATTAAATGTTTTGATTTTTGTGAAGAGTCTGTTAATGGATCTAAATTTCCTGAATGACACACAGAAAATCTCACCTTCTCAAAATGGCATTTGAAATCATTTCATTTTAAAGTTAGTACCAAGCCTGTAGCCAAGGTAGGGCCAGGTGGTGCTCTTCTTTGCCCCTCCCTAGAAGATTTATAAAAAAAAGTTTAATTTTATAAAAGTTAGAATACATATAAATATTAACTTTATCTAGTATAAATACCAGTTAAAATATAAGAAACAATATAATTAAATTTCATGGATTTTAAGAAGGCGTTTGACAGTTTACAGAGTAACATTCTGCATGCGGTTGAAATACTATGGATTTCCAGAATGTTTTCTAAACATTATCAGAAATAAAAATTATAATATACGAGTGAACCATGCCCGCAAACAATCAGAATCCCTTAAGGTTGATTCAGGTGTCAGACAGGGTTTTTATTTGCTGTTGATTGGATTATGAAGAGAGTTTTGAAGAATAAAAGGAGAGTAAGATGGAACCTTGTTGAATATCTTTCTAATCATGATTTATGTTTACTGACCAACACACTTTCCGAGATGCAGACAAACATTTTAAACATAGAGGGCAGGGCTTATTATCAACCAAAATAAAACTAAAATTTTGAAAATTAATCCTAAACATTTAAATGCCATACTCTTAAAAAATAGATGAAGATATACTTAGATTAAACAAAGCCTGACACAGTTATGCTATTTTCAATGAATTCTGGAAAAACAAAAACATAACAAATTCAACAAAATTTAAAATTTTCAATACTAATGTTAAATCTGTCCTACTATATCGATCTGAAACATGGCACTGCAATAAAAATAGCATGAAAAAACTTCAAATATTTATTTACAACTGTTTAAGAAGAATATTGCATATCAAGTGGTTCCATAAGATTTTTAATGCAGAATTCCTTAGAAAAGCAAAACAGAAACCCATTTATTTTGAAATTAAAAAATGGAAATGGAATAGGATTAGTTACATTGAAAATTTAAAGTAAAACAAGGTTTTGACTAGAACCCTCCAGGGAAATAGAAAAACCTGAAAATATTTGATGCAGAACGATTGTTAGCTAATTGAAAGCACTAGAAAAAACATGGAGAAAAGCAAAATATCTGACCACAAATAGAATGAGATGAAAAGCTTTGATAGAAGCCTTATGCTCCAATTCAGAATGAAGAGAAATATTATACAATTATATATGTAAATGTAATATGTAAATGGAATGCAAAATATTATACAATTATATAATATTATACAATAATATGTAAAATATTATATACAAGGAGACGGTCCTCCCTGCCTGTTTTGCTCATCAATCTCTTTCATTTACAGAATTTTTTCTTCTTATGATAAACAAATTATTTTATTTAAATTGAAAACAATCTGTTCGCGCATGTGCGACTGCCGCGCCACCCTTTTTGTGAAAGATTTATATATACCTTGAGAACTTCATAAATGGCGGACGTAGTCCGTGTGTCTTGAAAAATAAAGTACTACAGTCCATTGAAGACCAGTGTTCTTCTTATTTACGAAATAAACTTAGAGCTATCGACTAGAGTGACCACAAACATGTGGTCCAGTCACCCGGAAGCGAATTAGTGATTTATGGAAATCATTTAAAGTGCATACCGAAACGAACGAACTATGTGTACGATGCTCGTGTTATTTAACAATGGAATTTATATTATCTTTGAGTGAAATTTTTAGTGAGTGACAATAAAAAAGAAGCCGAAATTCTGAGGTAAGAGCAATTTCCCTTGTTTCATTCACTGTGCAAAATTTACTTTGAGTTATTCAGTTTGTCTATTTACATTGAGTTATTTTAGTGTGTTTAAAAAATGTCCCTTAATAAACTAAAAAAAGACGAATTAAAAGTCGTCGCAGACGAGTTAAGTTTAAAAGTTGAAGAAGGGGCAAGAGTTATTGATATAAAGAAGCTAATTGAAAATAGTGAGATTTATAAAAACGATAGTGATTTCGTTCAGAGTTTGATTGATAATATTCTTGAGGAAAAGAAAAACAATTATGAGTTAGAAAAAGCTAAATTAGCTCAGTTAGAGAAAGATAACCAAACAAAAATAGAGTTAGAAAAAATTAAACTCGCTCAGTTAGAGAAAGAAATTGAATTATCTAATGCGCGAAAAGAATCGCACAATTCTTCGAAATCGGAAACTATTAGCGAGCT